CAGCTGCCTGCAGCTGCTGGGCTGCACTGTGCTCTGCCTGTCCCTAGTCATCCCTGTTCCTGGGCTGTACTTTGCCCTAGTGCAGGTAGATGGTGTTGGCTGCTCCTAGGGCTGCTGCAGCTGGGGCTGGGGTGAGTGCTGCGCCCAGTGCTCCCCAGAGCTCTGCTTATCCACACTCACCCTAGCCCGTGCTGGAGTGGCCCCAGGAGCAGCTGACATCAGCTCCCTGCACCACAGTGCGGCAGAGCCCAGGAGCTGGGGTGAGCCCAGGCGTCGGGGGACAGGCAGAGCCCAATGCAGCCCAACAGTTGCAGGCAGCTGGTGCTGGCTGTTCCTGGGGCCGCCTCAGCCAGGGCTGGGGTGAGTGGGGCCATGGCCTTTTCCCCTCCCCCCCACAAACTGACCTGCTTGGGTGGTGGGGCATCTATGCTGATTGCATAAGAGTGAATTTACCTCACATATGACGAATTAGGGGTCTAAATATACTCATCAGATACGAGTAAATTCACATATAAAGAACCCGCATAAATTGTGGGAAACCTGTATCTTTACTCTCCCCCCGTGACCATAATTTCCAGATCTTGGAAACAAGGTGACATGTTGGAATGGGTCAACTTTTTTTGTGTCCACATCCTGGGAATTTTTGTATCACAAAGCACATTGAGGTGATGGAGCGCTATTTCAGGAGTCCAACAATAGTAGGCTGCATTATTTCTGGAATCTGCCACTAGAGGGAGTTGCAGTCCCATGTATTTGTTGTAGTTTAATGTGTTGTTACATGTGTAGCAAAGACAAACTCTCTGTAATCCATGCAGTGGTTTCCCTTTAATAATCTTAAACTGTTTCCTGTTTCCTATTTGGTAGGGCTACATAGAACTGTGGGTTTGCAAAGCTGGCTACACTGTCCTATTTTTCACACTGTCCTTATGTGCCAGTCAAGTGCTCTGTGTTGAAGTGAAATCTCCATGTGTCACGAATTGCTCAAACTAAATTTGTGCCTGGTGAAAAAAAGTGATTAATTTATTTTTTGGTTGACAGTAGAAGGACAGAATGTTCTGTCTGTGGATACATGGAAAAGAGATTATATGTTTTTTTGTTTTTTTTTTCATACGTTGGGTTTACACTCAGTTTTATAAACAATTTAATTAAACTAATTTTGGGAACTTCTGACAAGTGTCTAGAATTAACATATTTTCACATAAATTTAATTTATCATTAGTATTTATGTTCAGTCTAATTCATATAACTGAGAATGATTTAGATTGAAATGTTTTCTTTCTCCTCCAGAAACTGTTTTTTGATACTGCCTTTCTGTATTTGTACCCAGTAAAGAACATTTTTAGCAGCATATCATATAAACAGTGTCTATTCCATGCAGCATGAGACCTTAGCACCAAGAAACTAGATAGTTGGTTGCTTCTACTATTAAAAAGAAATTTGGTGATGCTATGAAATTATGGATACAAGTAGTTCACCCTTTCACTTATTCACGTTGGTACACATGGCCATTTAAAAGCCTTGTAAATCATTAATGGATTTGTACTCAAAACACTTGGGTAAAATAGGGAAGTATTATTTCCATTTTTACAGATTGAGAATTTAAGTGCAGGACTTTAAGTGGCTTGCCCAGAAATGCAAAGGGAATCTCTACCAAAAAGGAAACCAAACCCAGGTTTCTTGTTCATTTGACTGTTGTCCTCCTTACCTCATTTTTCTCCTCTGGTCCCAATATGCTTTGGAATTATTACTTAAAAAGAAGAAACACAATTGTATGGTGCATTTAAAAAAAACCCAAAAACCCTGAACAAACTGGCAAGGGAGAAAATATCTGAGTGCCTGGATTCTTTAAGCCATGCATCGTTTTGGCTTGTGGATTGATTTGTTCTAGGGTGTATGTCTTAGCACTTAAGCTTGTAGTTATTTCACGTAAACAACACTATAATGTTAAGTGTCATGGTGGCAGAGGTACAATACATCTAAATATTTTGTCAGATGATCTGCAATGTGGTGATAGTCTGCTGTTTTGTTTTGTTTTTCTTGTGAACACGAAGACCAAGTACAGTCAAAAATCCTGAAGCTAAATTGATTCAATTTTTGCAGATTAGTCTGAACTCTGTAGATTGAACCAATAAGCAAATGAAAAGACATTCACTTTTGATTCTGGAAATGCACCTGTGTGCCTGCAGTAGCCCAGGCCAAACGCTGTGGGGTGCTAGAGCACCCCTCCCTGCTTGGCAGACAGCTTGGACCTGCCCATGCTGTGAGGGGAAGGGGGGGTTCAAAGTATCCTGGGAGGCTTGGGGACTTTGAGTTAACTTAATCTGGAGGAGATCTGGGAGAGAAGGTTAAGCAATTTAACCTAAATCAGTTAAGTTTGATACTACATCCATCTAGGTTGATCTTAAACCAGTCTTGGCCATTTTAAAAGCGGTTTATGTGCACTGAACTTCTGAGTTACAGATTTGAACTGGTTTCTGATCACATATTACTAGTTTATGTATAATTTCTGTCCCTAGCTGAAGAGTTCTGTTTAACTGCATAATAGTCAGGCAACAAACCTAGCACTTTCAAATTTACATACTGGAAATTGGCAGCTGTCTCTAAAAGTAGTCACTTTAATGTGAGCCTTGATCTTTAACATGCTTATTTATAGCTTGTATTGTAGTTAGTGAGACCTGTGGGTGCTCAGCATCTTACTGGAAAAAATGAACCTATTTGTCTAGAGGCGAGTATCTGAATTTTAGGTACCAAAATTCACATCAGCCTCCTGAGTTGTAAAATCCCTGGTGAAATTCAGATGCTTTATTTTAACAATATGACAAAGGCATCTTTTTGTATATTTACCAAGATGTAGTTAGGGACAGTTCATATTTTAGTTAAGTTGAGACACTCTCTTTAAGAGAGAGAAACTAATAACTAGTCCAAGTGCAAGATAACTTTAGTAAGATAAGTAATTATTCTAAAAAAGTTGTTGGAGGTGCATATCAAGAAACCTGTGAAATAGTAATTAATTCTAGTGAACAGGACATTTACATTTTCTCTAACTTTTGTTATCATCAGACTACTTATTATGAACTGCAAATTATACTTTAGTGTAACTTTAACTTACAAGTCATCTTAAAAAAAATTCATAAGGGAAGTTGAAGAAGCAAATAAATACTTACGATTTATGATGTACTTCAAGAAACAAGTTTTTCCCTTCATTTTGCTACCATAAACAAGTCCAACAACTTTAACACCACCGTGATAGTGTTAAGGCTTTTAATAAATAAGACTCGAAGTGAAGTAGGGCTGGTGTGTCTCACTGAAGGCCCCAATCCCCTTGACTAAACCATCCCAACCAAGCGTCTGTCTAACCTGCTCTTGAAAGTTTCCAGGGATGGAGCTTCTACAATTTCTCTAGGTAGCCTGTTCCAATGCTTGACCACCCTCATAGTCACAAAGTTCCCCCTAATTTCCAAACCTAGGTTTCCTCTGCTGAAGCTTAAGGCCATTGCTTCTAGTCCTGTCCCCAACAGCCACAACGAAAGGTCCATCTCCATCCTCTATCCCTCAGGCATTTGAACTGATCAAATCCCCTCTCAGCAATCTGTTCTCCAGTCTAAATTACCCTAGTTCCTCATAAGTCATGCTTCCCAGGTCTCCGGCATTTGTCCTTGTTGAATCTCATTTGGTTGATTGTGGACCATTTTTCTAGTCTATCCAGGTCATTCTGGATCTTAGCCCTATAATTTCACACAACTTGGTGTCATCTGCAATTTGCTAATTTGCACTGGATCCAACCATTCAAATAATTAATGATGATGTTAAGGAGAATGTCATGACACTGTCAAAAGTCTTTCTAATATCAAGGTATTGATACTGCTTTCCTCCAGTCTACTGAGCCTTACCATAGAAGGAAATTGGATTGGTCAGGCATGCCTTGCTCTTGGTGAATTAAGCTATGTTTTCCACAAAAATCATTTTTAAATGTCTTTATTCTATTAAAACACAGGTCAGTTAAAAGCCATTCATCTTTTTCTTCAAAATTGATGCACTTGGCACACAAGAATAATCTTAAAGTGGGATTTTTAACAAATTGCTATTAATGATGTTTCTATTACTGCATTGTAATTGAATCAAAGCACATTATTTTAGAATAAATTATTTTAATCCTACATATAATTACTTCCTCAAATGAGTTAAATAAATTCACTCTCTATGCTTATTAATCAAGCCCAGGATCAATTGTCTTCTGAAATAATCACTCATTTAATAGAGGTTTTTATTATCTTGAACATTTAGTATGGTATGGGTCTCCTACTAATAAGCAAGGAACTTACTTTTTCACTCCTCCTCTCATCATCCCATTCGTTTGTTCTATGCTGCTCCCATTGCCTGGAATTCCAACCTTGATGCTTAAGAGAGATCACTTTAAAATGTACTACTCCTTTTCTGTTAACCCATTCAACTAAAAATAGTAGCAAATCTCATAAAAAAATATCTACAAAATTAGGTTATACCTCAGGACCATTTCATCCTTAGAATTATCTGGAGTCTGCATTTCTTAAGTTTTCTCTGTTTGCACAGTCAAATTCATAGGAGTCAAATTCTTTGAGCTGCCTTATCTGTCTGCAGTGGGAATTGCATGCTTTCATGTGTCTTCTTGCACAGGGTGTCTACAGGGCAGTCTAGAGGTTCAAGCAAAGCCAAAAGGAAAGTGTTGGGTTATATTCATCATTGATGGAACATGCAGGGGCCTTTTGGCATATTCCAGTCCTGAGGTGCCAGGTGTGACTGTTCAAGAGCTTTGCTGGGAATTGGGTTTTAGCCTAAGGCTGGGACTTGCCTGTCTTTTGTATTTGCTGCATTAGCACACAGTAGTCTGGTGAGCAAACTAATTTGCTTACATGAGAAGTTCCTAAAGCACCTAGTTTTTTGAACAGTTTGAGAGTAATTTGTTAAACATATCAAGGTTAAAAAGTACTTTTAGTAGAATAAGTATCTTCCTTTGTAAGGTCTTTACATCTCTTGACTTTTTTCTTTTTCCTTTAAACTCCATTTGAGGCAACTAATTACTTTCTTCATAACATGTAAATATTACAGCAGTTACCAGAGATATAGGTTGTAGCCTTATTGGTCTACAGGCAAAAGGAATCAGAGCTCATAGTAGAAAGAATTTTTTTTGCAACTATCTAGTTGGTCTAATAAAAGATATTGCCTCTACCATAAGTTCTGGGTCCTTTTAGCAGTTACCAATTTTTGACATACTTGCTAATTTCTTAATCCAAAATATAGTGGCTAAAAAGATAGCACAGCTCTAGTTTGCTCAGGTGAAATATTTTATTTTGCTTCAGTCCTACTACCTAATAGTTTCATTTTATGTCCCCTAATGCAAATAGTTCAGGCATTTGAGGGAGTCAGTTGACTTAATGGCTCATGGTTCTTCACTCTACAGATGTTAGCGATTCTCTCTACTTTACTGGTCACAAAGCTCTACTAATCAAGCTAACCTTACTTAGGGACATTTTGCTGTCTGCTAGCTGCCTTTCTTAGCTTCTTCCGCTCTTTAGCAGAGATCCTTTAACTTGTTTCAAAATCATAGATCCAACCATGGAGACCAGTCTTCAGTAGCAACTAGGGATTCATCTTTAGGAAACGGGGGGAGCAGTTATTCAGCTGAAGATTAGGCTCTGGCTTTGCTCTATGCAGCCATAATACTTGAAAAAATATTTTTTTTTCTTCATTCTGCCTTTCAAAGACAAGGTGCATATAATGTTTGGGGGCATGTTGTATGTGATAAAATATTTGTCAAATATCTGTAACGCAGATGCATATCATGGATAACACTATTATTTTTAAAATTGTGATACAGAAAACCTTGAAAATCTAGACATTTGATGTTTGTTTATTCTTATACTTAATAAATGTGGTAGTAGACAATTTTTAATGCATCAAAGGTAAAGAACTCAATCTAATGGTGCTGTTAGTGGCAGAACTAAAAAGTCATAAAAAGTCATTGATTTTTTTTTTTTTAAAAAGAACACAAGTGTTTGAGGATATAATCGAGAAAGTTAATGCTATTATGTTTTGGGTTTTTTTAGTATGAATCTGATGAACAGGAAAAGAGTGCATATCAAGAGTATGACAGTGACAGTGATGTTCCAGAAGAGCTGAAAAGAGATTATGTGGATGAACAGACAGGAGATGTCCCTGTAAAAAGGTAACTTGGGGCCCCTTCTACATGTGCAGGCAAAGGCATGACAGGATCTGATGCGTGATCAGTTGTGCCTCCTGCCTTGGTACACGTGCATGGCAGGAGGTGCGATTGTGGGATTGCCTGTTAGATACAATCATGCTTTATTGCCTGTGCAGGGACAGCCTGATCCTGGGCTCCCCCTGCATAGATGAGAAGCGAGCTCCCACAGCTGGGACCCGCCTCAGTTGGGTGCCCTACGTACCCCTGGACCCTGGGGATGGCAGCTGCAATCTCCCCAGCTCAGGGGTGCATGAAACCCCCAGGCCCTGGGGATTGTGGCTGCCATCATCCCTAGGGATCAGGGCTGTGCGAAACCTTGATCCCTGGAGCTCAGGGGTTTTACATACCCACAAGCCCTAGGGATCACAGCTGCCTTGATCGCTAGGGTTCAGGGCATGGTGCACCCTTTTGGCTGGGAGCCCTTTTAGCTGATGGGCCTCCCAGCCAGTGGGGAGACCTTGCTACATGTGCAGATTTAAAGCTGGATAGCAACCAGCTATAAAGTTAGTATACATTTTTCAGGTCTAACTTTATAGCTGGTTGGAGCTTTTTATTGTGTGATAGCTACTTTGCATGTGTGGCTGGTCTCCAGGTAATTGTACAATTAACTGGTTAATTGTTTAATATCCGTAATGTATAGAGGGGGTCTTGCTGGAAAAAAAAATGTATCTCTTTCTCTACTTTTAACCTTTCCTTTATTCTACAAATTTAATAGAAACAAATATTAGCTGTCAAATCTATTATATCATCCCCACACTTAAAGTAGAGAATATATTTCTCCAAACGCAGCAAACCTTCAGGCTGTGTTTATCATTGTCCAAGAAAGAAGCAGTGAACAGACAAATTGCGAAATAAGGGGAAGGAGATGGAGGACTGATTAGTAAAGCAGTCAAACGTTAACTGAAGGTTTGACCTTGCTACCTTTTTGTAAACCTAATACCTGTTCAAGTCCAGAATAATTGTTTGCAGAGATATGACTGAAGTCTTGGCTTCTAAGTTTCAGTTTTGAACAAAACCAGTCACCTTTTGCAGATATGAGAAAGCACTGTAGAATTTCCATATATGTATTCCTTGAAATGCTTCCATAGATCAAATATATCTACTTATAATTTCAAATTAATCATTGTCTCACTTTTTTAATATAATACCAACTTTGGACTATATAAAAAGAAAATTCATTTCCCTCTAGGTACTATATCAAGGTGGGAATTAATTCATACCCTAAAAAGGCAGACATTATTTATTGTGGAGGCCTACAGGAGAACCAGAAAATTGCCACTCATGTAGAAAAAGAGAAGTTCCTTCTTCAGGGAAATCACTCCTAAAGTAAAATATTATCAGTTTACTTTTTCAAATCCCATAACCTATGTAGTTCCAAAGATGTCTGTAGAACCAGTACAGTAAAATACTTAAAGGAATAATAATAATAATAATAATAAAAAAATTAAAATATCTGTTTCTCCTATTTATCTCAATGCATACAGCCTATGAAATTCTTATCTTTCTTTCAGCAGTAGCACATTATTTTGTAGAACAGCAGGCTGCAGTCTGTTTCTCCACATTGAATTTTAAGCAATTTTTTAATTTCCTCATGTTTACCCAGTTATTTGTTCTTATATAAAGTGCAGTTCAGCTTTAGCCCATTAAACCTCACAGCTTTCCTGATGACTTTGCCTTCTTTTAATCTGCTCCACTTTACATGTGGGGAAGTTAACCAGCGTGGTTAATTTGCTTTGGTAAAGCCACAAAAAGAGTTAAAGGTGAGAAGCCAAGAATTCTTTTCCCAGCTCAGTGTTCAATTAGATGACCGCATGTTCTCATGCAGTTATTTATTGATATAAATAAAATACATGCTTCACTTTGGGTATAACATACTGTGCAATAAGATGCACTCTTTATTTCCAATTTATGTTGTACATTATTAGACAACTGTTGGTTCTCATCTTTTTTTTAATTAAGCATTTCTCGAGAGACCCTGAAAAGCAGGAAGAGATCAGATTATAGCCTCAACAAGGTGAATGCCCCCATTCTGACAAACACTACGCTGAATGTAATAAGGCTTGTTGGTAAGTACAATGGTGTAATGACTTGGATTTTTTTTTACAGACTTGTAGATCATAGAATAAAATATGGGTTGTTTTAAAGCATTTTAAAGTCAATGTTGTTAGAAACCTTCTTTTAAAATTGTAGTTCCAAAAGTGTTTTACAAAAGTCAGTTACAATCATAAGGCTAAAATCTTATGAAAAGGTCTGACACTTTTATTCAAAATAGAAATATGCACTACTTCATAAATCTGCGTAATGGTGAGTTGTTTGGCAAAAGGTTTAGTGCAGAAGGTTAATGGGTATAACAAGAGGACAGCACAAATCTTTGTGCAGGCATGGCTTTTGTTTTGTTTTTACTTTTTTTTATACAGATGTGTTTTGCTGGATTGAACATTTTTTATTTGAAGGCAACTTAGGACTCTCTTTTTTTTGGCTCAAATGCACACACATGATTTGTATCATCTTATGGTATGCCAGGAAGATGTCTGAATTTTCCATAGTTGTTTTCCATAGTTAGTTATATGAACTATTGGTTGAGAAGCTGATTTTGATAGTTCAAATGTCTTGTATTTTTAAGTCAAAATTTGTACATATCAGGCAGCCTGAAATTGAGTTATCAATTCATAATATAATTAATGAACACTGTAAACCACACTTTTAACCATTAATTGGATATGTTGACATATGTCAGATTGGTTGGTGATTTTGGTCGAGTTTTCTGCTAGACGCCTGGTCACATCATAGAGAACAGCTTCGTGAATGGTCCTAAATATGTTCATGTGTAATGGGTGGGTTTTTTTGGAAGCCTCAGTGAAGGACTTCTGCTCTGATTGAGCACTCCATGTTTTGCTTGAGGCAAACTGTAAAGACAGTGTGGGCAGGGGGCCCTGGAGGGAAGTGGAATGGGGCTGTGGGTGGCTTGTGCTGGGGGGAGGGGGAGAAACTGGTTCCCCACCACTGTGTGTACTCACAGGGGGCAGAGTGGACCCATGTCACCCAGATCTGTGCACAGGGCAGGGGTGGGTGCAGGTTGCCCGCTGTGGGCTCAGGCTCCTGCCTTGCTGCCCTCCCCCTGGGGCGTCTGCAGCCCAGTGGATGCAACCCAGTGCTGCTTGCCACTGCCAGCTCCATGCTGCCCTGGCATCCTGTCCCCTTTGCTTGTGGCAGCAGGGGTGGCAGCGTGGAGGTGTGCCCCTCACTGCTGCCATGTGCACTGGGAACATGTCACTAGAGCAATGCAGTGCTTGCACCAGAGACAACTTTCCTGCTTGGTCCCACTCTGCCCTGCGGTGCTGGGTCACACCCGCCGGGTTGCAGAAGCCCTGAAGGAGGGCAGCAGGGTGGAGAACCAGAGCATGCAGTGAGGCCCCACCCCGCACACAGATCTGGGGGGCAAGTGTCCCCTCCTGCCCGCCTCTGCCCCCGGGAGTGTGCGCCACAGCAGGGAGCCGGCCCCCTGCTGCCTGAGCCTGCAGCTGGCAGGCTGGGGAGAGGGGGGTAGAGTGAGGGGCACCAGCAGGGCCAGGGGGGCTGTTGGGAGCTTTTCATTTTAATCACAGATTTTTGGGGGTTTTATCAGAGAATTTGCTTTTTTTATCAGGGAAAACCAGGATCCCTGCTTATAACAATATTAACTCTAGCATATTATTCATTGTTATTAGTACAATGTATTAGTATCATGAGACTACATTACAATAATTGTTTGTTATTTTTAACTGTTAAGTGGGAAAACTGTGTGTATGTTATGTGGATGAGCATGAAGTGTAATGGTGAACTTCTGCAAGAGTGCTTTTCTGCAGTTGGTTTGTAGTATATTTATAACTAGTTTGATAAAATATGGCAATTGCTGAGGAAATGCAGGTGAATTATTTTGTTTAGAAAAATTCATTTAAATTCACATGATGGCCAACTTTCCCATTAGAATGTTTTTACCACATAGGCATGAAGAAATAAATGCTTACCAGTTTGATTTATATTATGTACTGTTATGACTCATGTCTTCCGGGGTATTGATGTACAAACTGAACATCTGTGTGTATGTTTTGATCCAGTGCATGAACCGCTGGACAGATTATTAGTTATTTCATGTCTGTTTTATTTTAAGCAATTTCATCAGACCTGCAAATCTGGATTGACGTGTTAGCCTTCTTTTATGTCACAATTCTTTTTTCTTGCCCAACAGAGGAGTGGTTGGAAGAATACTTTGGATTTTTGATCTTAAGGCAGAATTATTTGCTTTTATGGATTCTAGTCAAACCTGTAAAGTTATATAAATATTACTTTTGTTGCTCAGTTTTCTTTTTTCCCTTCCTCCTTATTTTTTAATTTGAAAGGTTTCAACCTTAAGCAATGTTTTATACTAATCTTAGAGCAGTTGATAATGGCTGAACCTGCCTACATCTGCATTAGCTACATAGGATTGGATGGGACCTCTTGGGTTGTTTGGTCCAGTCCCCTGCCATTGCAGGCAATATGTCATAATTTCCTCCCACGTTGACCCCATTCTGTCCTAAATGCAGTTAGGTTTTTTCCCCCTTTAGTCTGACTGTTTCAGAACAGTAAAATTCTAAAAACCTTTTTCTGATTTATAGCCTGAATGTATCCATTTACATGTTCTTGTGTTAGCATTGTCTTTATCTTAAAGAGCTCTTCTCCCTCTTGTGGTATTTAGCTCCAAATATATTTATAAACAATAATCATCTTGTCCTCACCCTGGTTTTGTTAGAATTGACATACAAAGATTTTATATTTTCCTCTTGTAAGGTATGCTCTCCACTCCATGATCATCATACCTGTAACGCTCTCTGCTGCTGTTCCAGATTGACTAGAATTGTATGGAGCATGAAAGCTTATCAGTGCTAGTACAATGATGTGAATATTTCCTTTATCGCAACTGGACATACTTTTATTGAGACTTTTTAGGAGCTTTTTTGTAATTTTTTTTTTTTTTACAGCTGCTTCGCATTAGCAGGTTGTGAGATTGACCATTATCTTCATTTTTAGTAATTTCCGGCTTAACATATACTCAGCTAGCAAACATTTCTGTTAGTTCCCAAGTGCATGACCATGCATTTATAGTATTGAATTTCATTCCATTTCTGTTATTTCACTCAAAATTATCCACTTTCTTGTAAGATATTCTGATCCTCATCTGTATTGATACAGTGCCTTCAATCATCAGTATATTCCCATTTTTTGTGTTCAGGTCACTACTGAAAATATTGATAGAGAATGCAACTGGAAACCTTTCTCCAAGTGGTTACTTTTCTTTTTAGCATTACACTGTGCCTGTCCACCATTAGTCCTTAAACTATGTGGCAGACACCTTGAGCTGTAGTATTCTTTACTTGTTCTCTTGAATCATCTCTCTATAATGTGAAAACCAACACCGTGTTAATGACAGAGTTATATGGCAGTGTGTAGCACTACTCTCCAGGTGATCCAGGTTTTGGTTCCAAACTCCTATACTTGCTCTATAGTCCAGAATGTTGGAAAGTAAGCATGTCATATCTATTAACGGCAACATTTATGGCTAAATAAGAGGATGGTCTAGTTTCTTTGGTTTTAGGAGAGTGGCCACAGTTGTAGATGTCACAGTTGTAGATGTAGAAGCATGTTTTATGTACATTTCCTCCGGATTCTGGATCATAGGACAAACTGAGGAATGAAGAAATATTTGCATTAATTAAGGGCATGTGCAAAATTGATAAACATAAATGTCTCATACTGCTGAGGATTTGATCTAAAATTTAGGTCGTTAGTCACAACAAAATTTATGATTTTTCCGTCCTATGACTTTTTTCCTTTCCTTTGCGTGGCATCGTGTTGCCATTTAAATGGCTTCTAGGCTGAAGAAATGTTTTTTACATTTTAGCAACTGATCTATTTACCCTTATTTGGTGATTTGAACCATTTTGTGTAAATTGAGCCAACTAATACTATCATTTAGTTATTGCAGTTGAGAGAAACAAAACAAAAAAACTGATGTGATTGGAATAACAGAGGCTTGGTAGGATAGTTCGTATTACGAGTACTGTCATGGATGAGTACAAACTGTTCAGGAAGGACAGGCAAGGGAGAAAAGCTGTATGATTGCTCAGCTCTCTAGTATGAAACCGGAGATCGGCCTGTTGAAAGTCTCTGTGTTAGAGTTAGAAGGGAGACCAACAAGGGTGATGTCATAGTGGCTGGCTGCTATAGACCACTATACCAGGAGGTATAGTAGATGAGGTAGATGAGGCTTTCTTCATACAACTAATGGAAGCTCCCAGATCACAGGCCCTGGTTCTCATGGGGGACTTCAGTTACCGATTTATCTGCTGGAGGGCAATACAGTAGTGTGCAGGCAATCTAGGAAATTTTTGGAGAGCATTGGAGATAACTTCCTCGTGCAAGTGTTGGAGAGACCAACTAGGGGCCATGTTCTTCTCGACCTGCTGCTCACAAGCAGGAAAGAATTGTTGGGGGAAGTAGAAGTGCATGGCAACTTGGGCAGCAGTAACCATGAGATGATCAAGTTCAGGATCCTGAGAAAAGAAATAAGAGAGCAGCAGAGTATGGACCCAAGTCTTCAGAAAAGCAGACTTTTGAATTGATGGGCAGACTCAGGGAATTGATGGGGCAGAATGTCGTGGGAGGCCAGTCTGAGAGGAAATTAAGTCCATGGAAGCTGGCTGTATTTTAAAGAACCTGACTGAGGACACAGGAACAAGTCATCCCGATGTGCGGGAAGGATAACCAGTATGGAAGATGACCAGCTTGGCTTAGCAGAGAACTCTTCAGTGAGCTTAAACACAAAAAGGAAGCTTACAAGAAGTGGAAGCTTAGACAGATGACTAGGGAGGATTATAAGAGTATTGCTTGGGCATGCAGGGATGAAATCAGGAAGGCCAAAGTGCATTTGGAGTTGCAACAAGCAAGGGATGTGAAGGGTAACTGGAAAGGTTTCTAATAGATTGCTAACAACAAGATGAAGGTCAGGAAAAGTGTGGATCCCTTGCTGAATGGGGGAGGCAACCTT